CTGAATTAACTACAGATGGGAATTTGATGACTCACCTATCAGAAAGGTTGGTGGTGTTCTTGATTCAGACATGGTCTGATTCAGCTCTCACCAGCTCTGGGCACCACCTGCTCTGAGCTGATCCTGTTCTCAATCAGGCTGTTTACTTGGTCACACAACATTCCCTCAGTAGATTGAAGGCCCTTGGAAAGAGCTCCTGACTCTCTCCCAGCATTGTCAGGAAAACTGGGGTTGCGTTTCACTGGTTTCCTGTGCCTGTCTCTCTCTGAACCCAGCACTGCAGCCAGGAGAGGAAGCAAGGAAGCTTTGGAAAAATCAAGGCCAGATCCAAAGCAGAGGCTGGACTCAACCACATCTAAGCCATTGGCACTGAGAGGAGGAGAGGGGGGCTCCCCAAGAACACACAGGGGGTACCATTTTAGCTAAAGGATGAAGGATGCTGTGTAACAATGTCAGATGCCCTCCTGGGCCGCCTTCTCTCTCCCCTAAGCCCACAACTACCACCCAGGCCTTTGCACTTCAACACTCCCACGACAATGAAAACAGGTCCAGAGAGGACCAGAGTCAGCGAGTTAGGAGAAGTGGCAAGGCTATCCGCCCGGGGCCACAACTGGAGCATGTGTGGATGGAGAGAAAGGGTGCCACTCTCAAAAGGTAAGCCCTGCTCAGGCCATCACTCCGGTCTCCCCAGCATAGTTAAAAAGAGAATGGCTATGTTTCAGTCAACTTCCGCTGGCTGCAGACTCTCTATGGCAATCATGCACAAGCATTTCTATCTCCCTCCCATGTCTGTGAGTTGGCTAGGGTCAGCTGGCACAGGCCGGACTCACTGATTGCAGGCTCCCAACGGGGTCTGGATCTGCCGCACAGATCCCTCATTAGCCTGGAGCCACCAGCTGCCTGAAGCATGCTCTGCTTACCATGATGGCATTTCCAGCTCCTGCTCGCATCATCTTCTGTTCTAATGTTCTGTCGGCCCAATCAAGTAACATGGCCAAGAACAAAGTCAGGTAGTAGATAGGTAATGCTTCTCCACAACGTTCCAAGGATGAAGAAGTGCAACACTAGTACCCAGAAGGGAGAGCTGGGGACCAGCAATATAGTCTGCCACAGGAGGTAACCAGAGGACAAACTTCCCCACAGGCTCAGCACTCTTCATTGATTTGCCTGGTATAGTGAAAGCTTAGCCTAGAGCACCAAAGCCCAGTAAGAGGGCCTTGTCCATGATCACATGATCTCTTCGGAGCAGAGAAGGAGTAGCATATGGGAGAGCTCTGAACTCCCTGTGGAGACCACACCTGGAATGCAGCAACACTGAACAGAAGTTGCTTCTCTTCTATCCACTGCCCTCAACATTCTTGATTCAGACATCAGAAAGCGCAGCCCAGGTAATTAGCAAATTTGAAAACTTGAGTTAGGATTTAATCTTCTTGTTTCCCAGATAAAGCCAGCCTCAGGCTATCCTCTGCTCTCTGAGGGAGTGATGAGGTCAGCATCTCCTCTCCTCTCCCATCTTGCCTACTGCCAACTTCTGAGGTCAGAGCATAAGGAAAAAGGAAGGGAAGGGCCCATGGGAAGTTCTTTCTTTTTTTTTTTTATTTTTTACGGTTTTTTATTAAGATATTATTGATATACAGGTTTATGAAGGTTTCACATGAAAAGCATTGTGGTTACTACATTCACCCATATTATCAAGTCCCCCCATACCCCATTGCAGTCACTGTCCATCAGTGTAGTAAGATGCCACAGAGTCACTACTTGTGTTCTCTGAGCTACACTGTCTTCCCCATGATTCCCTTCACACCATGTGTACTAATCATAATGCCCCTCAACTCCCTTCTCCCTTCCTCCCCACCCGCCCTCCCCCACCCTTCCCCTTTGGTAGCTGCTAGTCCCTTCTTGGAGTTTGTGAGTCTGCTACTGTTTTGTTCCTTGAGTTTTGCTTCGTTGTTATACTCCACAAATGAGGAAAATCATTTGGTACTTGTCTTTCTCTGCCTGGCTTATTTCACTGAGCATAATACCCTCTACCTCCATCCATGTTGTTGCAAATGGTAGGATTTGTTTCTTTCTTATGGCTGAATAATATTCCATTGTGTATATGTACCACATCTTTATCCATTTATCTACTGATGGACACTTAAGTTGCTTCCATTTCTTGGCTATAGTGCTGTGATAAACATAGGGGTGCATAAGTCTTTTTGAATCGGAGAGCTTGTATTCTTTGGGTAAATTCCCAGGAGTGGTATTACTGGGTCAAATGGCATTTCCATTTTTAGTTTTTTAAAGAACCTTCATACTGCTTTCCACTAGTTTAAATTCTCACCAGCAGTGTAGGAGGGTTCCCCTTGGAAAGTTGCTGCCAGTAGAGGAGAAGGGCTGCCAAGCAGGGAGGCAGGAAGGAGGAAGAACTGGCATGGGAGCAAAGAACACTCCCAGGAGGCAGCAGTGGGCCGTGGGCTCTGGGTCCATCCTGGGACTCCAAGTGGTTGTCCATAGGATGGGACACTTTCGGGGCCATCATGGTGAAGTGGGAGACAAGGAGGTAACTTCTGCTCAGATAAGGAAAGACACTCCCTACCAGCTCTTCAAAGGAAGGGGCTGTAAGAAATTAAGCCTGAGGCCATCATAGCCAAACCAGACCAATGGTGGGTGGAGGGCTCTTCCTAGCTCACATGAGGGACCCAAGGTGACTAGGGGGAATTACATAAAGGTGAAAAACATGGTCTTCCCCATGTTTCTTGCTGTGGCCTTTACCTGCTCTGGCCTCTCTGTTCCTAAGTGATGAGAGAAGACACTTCCTTGGGCAGGCTGATTCTTAAGGTTAATTGAAAGTGGCCTTTCTTGTGAATCATCCATCGCACTGAATTATTAATCACCTGCAGGCATTTGCAGGCCTTTAAACACTTGGACTTCCTGCAACCCTCCTTAGAAATGCTTTTGTCAAGAGAAATATGACTTCCTTTTGGCCACGGAAAAGAGAAACCCTGCCTGATTCTGTTTCCAGATTTCCCAGCTCCCAGAAAGCCAGTAAAGAACAAATCTGAAAACAGGAAGCAGGGCCAGGGCTGCAGCTCGACCTGGAGCCCATTCTGTTAGGTGGAGTCAGCTCCAGGCCAGCCAGGTCTTAGAGCCCCTGTGGGCCAGTGGGCGGAGGGGCCTTCGTGAGGCCGTGGGTGCCGGGAGAGCGAGGTGGAGTGACAGTCACAGGCACTGAGCACTGCCGGGGTCAGGGGGCTAAGAGTGGGGAGGGCAGCCAAGGAGGCATGGCCTGACGGGGTGGATAGGATGAAGAGCGAATAGGAAGTTAAGGCTGTGCTCCAGGTGAGAGATGGTGGAGATGGGGGCAAGGTTTTTGGTGGTGACAGAGATGGACAGAAGAGGAAGAGCTGGCAGCACTTGGCCACTGCTTGGATGTGGTTGTGAGGGTAGGAGGCCAGAGAGGAAGTGGGTAGGGCCCTTGGCAAGGCCAGAATGGGGTTGGGGTAGATAGGCAGCCCTGGGACTTCCTGACCCGCCACAAGTCATTCACTTGTCAGAAGCACCCACTTCCCCACCCCACACCGAGAACAGCCTGTGTGCAGCTCAGGAACAACCGTGGAGGTGGCTGGGTGTGGATGGGTGCCATGCCCTATCAGGCTGGTCAGGCCAGGCAGGGCAGCTGGGAAGTGGGTCATGGCAACTGAAGGGTTACCATGCATGAGGCACATGGGCCTTGCTCACTGTCTGGTTCCAGCCTTGGGGTGCACCAGGAAGAGGGAGAATGTAAACGATGCCTCTCAGTAGACTGCATGGACACTGTGATCAGCACAGTAATGGCTCCAAAGGCATCCATGCCCTAATTCTGGGAATAGTTATCTTACAGCAAAAGGGACTTTGCAGATGTGGTTAAGGACCTTGAGATGAAGTGATTATCCTGGATTGACTGGGTGGGCCCCAAATAATCACAAAAGGTCCTCATAAGAGGAAGCAGAAGAAGTTGATGTGAAGATGGTGAAGATTCAGAGAGATTAGAAAATGCTGTTGCTGGCTTTGGTGATGAAGGAAGGGGTCTTCTAGAAGCTGGGAGAGGACATGGATTTTCCCCCGCCTCCAGAAGCAATGCAGTCTTCTGACCTCCAGAACTATAAGGTAATAAATCTGTGTTTGCAACCACTAACTTTGTGGTAATTTGCTGCAATAGCAGGAAAGTAAGAGATATTCAACTTGGGCCTGAGGGCAAAGATGAGGAAGTTTCTGGGAGACCCAAGCCCCACTTCCTGAGACACATCAGGATTGCCAGCCCAGAGAAAGGCAAGGTCTGGGCCCCAGGTTCTCCACACACTCCAGAGGGCAGGTTGCTGGAGGAAGGCCTGCAGGGAAATGCCCTGCCTGCCTGATGTTGGGCTGGAAGAAGGAAAAACAACGACATGCAAACAGAACAGAGAGATGCTATAGGGGGAGAACAAACCAGACCCCAAGGTCCGTGCCTTATACGGAAAGGGGACAGCTCTTCCTGAATTCCATCCTTCTGATGTGCCAACTAAGACCCGAATGTCATCTTCCTCCCTCTTGGAAGGAAAAAAAGTTTCTAGTTGTCTATTATGTCTCCTTTAGCCAATCATACCTCTCCACACCCCCTAGGATAGCTTGCCCACTCCTCCCCCTCCTAATCCCTTATAAGCCCCCACCTCGCTGACCAGGTGTGACTTCCCTGGCCTGTAATACCCAAACTGCGGATCATCACCCAGGAGTGGCACTCAAATAAACTACCTGGCCCTTTGTTGCCGCTCTTCGCTTGCTTATTTCAGCTAAAATTTATCTTACACCTGAGACTCCAAGCAGGGAGCCAGGTGGAGAGAGAGGCTCCACTCCGCAGGTGGGGTTTCACTCCTTACCACCTCACACCCATCAGGACCCCAGAAGGAGAGTGGACATGCTTCCTCTGCACACCGCAGCCAGAGGCTCCCAGACTGCCCCTATGAAGTGCGAGGGGCCCCGGTTCGCCACCCATCCTGCCTTAGGTCAAACAGGGTTCAGGCAGGACGGAGCCTCAGGAACACTTACGGGGTGAGGGGCTCTCCATCCGGTCCACCCCACCTCCTCTGTCTTACAATACGCACAGTTGCCATGAGGGAGTGGGAGCCATACCCAGCCTCAGGTCTTTGGACACAGTCCTCAAGGCCATAAAACTATTAATCCTCCCTTCCCCCACCTCCACACACACACATTCCTTTTCCTCACTATTTACAGATGCTTCGATGTCTCACTCGTGCCCACTGGAGCCCCTCTCAGGGACGCTGTGCAGATGCCAGGAGGGTGTGCATCCCCAGATGGGGCACGTATCAGTAGCCGGCAGAAGTCCAGGAGGGCCCATACCTGAGCACGTCGTCCATTAAGGCTGCGTTCCTAGCCTCGATTGGCACAGCCCCTGCGGTCTGATAAATAATAATCACTACAATAATAGGGGCTGCGAGTGCTAAAGGAACCCTGGCAACGCCGCCCTGAGTCAAATAATCACCATAGTAGTGGCTGGCATGCGTTGCGAGCTCTCCGCACTGGTGTCAGTCCGCCAGTCATCGTTATAAGCCGTCGTCTCTCTTTCATAAGTTAACGAAAAGTGAACCCAGAGTGCGTAAGTAAATTGTCCCAAATCCCAGAGCTAGCGAGTGGGGAGCCAGAGCTGGAAACCGGGTGGTCTGGCTGCAGAATCCGTGCTCTCCAACTCCTCCTTATTTTGTCCCCCTGAGCTGGTGAATGAGTAAACTTGAGCGCCGCACCGCACGCCCAAGTGGTTAGGCAGGTAGCTCTGGCCAGGGGCAGGGGGCGGAGACTCGCCCGCCCTGGGATCCGAGAAGGCCCCCTGGAGCACGGGTAAGGGCTGGGCCTGGAGGCCGCAGCCTCAGCCAGCGGAGGATCTGCGGAAGGTAGAGGCACCTTCTCAGATGGGCACGTCCCGCGCCAAGGCTGCCAGGTGTGAAGGTCAGGTGCGCGGGCCGAGAGGCAGCTCTGCCCTTGGAAGCCGGTGGCCCTCGTAGCCCACCCTACCGCAGCCGCAGGGGGGCCCGGGCGCCCCGCCGGGGCCTGAGCCTTGCGTTTTCCGGGAGCTCAGGCTGCGCTGGCGCCCTTCCCTGGATGAGCTGCAGCCTCTGGGCGCTGGGTCCTTGCCCCCGCCGTCTGTCGCTGCAGGGCCGGACACGACGTGGGACCGCCCCCTGCGCTTGCCCGACGGCCCTGCGCCAGGCTTTAAAAGCCTGCCCCGGGAGGGCTGTAGGCGCGGACAGACGCGGAGACCTGCGAAAACAAACAACGGCCCGCGCCCCGACTGCTGACCGGAGCAGCCCCATGACGGGTAAGTGTCCTCGCCTCCCACCCTCGCCCCCAGCGTGGCGCCCTGCCCCTCAGCCATCCTTTGGAGCATTTTCTTCCGCCCGCTGGCCCCCGCTGGGGCGCAGTCCCTGCCCCTCCTGCCCGTGGCTCCGTGGAGGCTGCGGGGCTGGAGTGGAGGGTAAGGCCCGCTCCTCACGACAACTGAGGGTCCGGAGCGGTGGGGGCCCGCCTTCTCACCACCCCACTAAGTCTAGACCCCAGAGCCCGGGAAATTATGCATCCGCACGTGACCCGAAGGAGGCACCCTCTTTGCCCAGCGGGAGGGAGCGTCTCAGCGCTCTCAGCTAGCGTTCAGCGGGAGTGGAGCCTCCCAGGTCCCGGCAAATGTGGGGGGCGCAGGTGCCCACAGCAAAGGGTCCCTGTGTCTCAGTTTCTCACACCCAGTACACCACCACTCAGCTACACTCCCCTCCACCTTATCCAACCGACTCCCCATAGAGTTTGGAGGGAATGTGGGAGGCGTTTTAGAGAATGTTACAGAATTCAAGCATGAGTCCAGCCCACAAAAGGTTCCAGGACCCCAAAGGATCAGGCTCTGAATGCAAACGAAGGCATCATCCCGTCCTCAGCTTTCCTTAAGTACACGATGCCATACCCAGACTCACCCTCAACCCTGAACAGGAGCCCAGGGAAAGAGAGGTTCTGTTAAGAGAACTGTTCATTTCAGCCAGAATCCCAAGTCCAGGGCCAGCTGCTTTCCAAGGGAAACCAGAAGCCTCTGCCCAGAGTGCTAGGACCCCAGGAAATTTGGCTAGCCGGCAGCACCCCTCCCTAGCAGACAAGGGAAGTCTGCTTTTGTGTCACCCCTGGGGTCTGAGCCAAGTGGCATGAAGAGGAGTGGCTTTCCCCAGGCCTCACAATCCTGGTGGTCTCTGCCCCCAGAGCAGGTGGCCCTGGTGATTGGGGGCATCATTGCGGGGCTGCTGTTGTTGATCGGGGTGAGCTGCTGTCTCTGGAAGAGGATTTGTGCTGTGTTCGCCTATAAGGAGCTGCCGGGGACCACAGCTGCCTCCAGCGGACAGGGGTGCAAACTCTACACACCATGTGCCAGGACCCAGTCAAGCAGGTGAGGCTGGATATGGGGCCACACAAGCTCCTGGCCAGGCTTAGGGCCCTCCTTATGGAACTTCCTCTGGAGTGGAGTGCGCAAGGTCTGTTTATGGAGCACCACCTCTGTGCTGTCACCACAAAGAAACCCTAGAATCACAAGCTCTGAGGCAGGTATTATAAAACCCATTGTCCAGATAAGAAAACTGAGGTTCAGAGGACATAATGGCTCCATATAGAACAAGTGGTATCTAGCAGAACAAGCATTTGAACCCACCTAACTGACTCCAGGCAGACAAAGGTTTGGTGCTGTGTGTGTGTGTGTGTGTGTGTGTGTGTGTGTGTGTGTGTGTGTGTCCTTGTCCTTGTGTGGGCTCAGAGAATGGTTCTGATGCCTCCTCCTGGGTCCTGCTGGCATTTGCTCCTCCAGCCTCTGGCACTTTACCCCTATGAGCTGAGCATCTGAAGCCACACCTTTCAGTGGCCACCTATATGTCATCTCTCTGCCTCTGCACAGGCCGAGTGTGCCATTTGTGGTGCCCCCTTCCTACCAAGACCAAGACTGGGTGCCTATGAACAGCAGAGAGTGGGCTCAGGCCCCACAGGATGCCTGCCCAGCCCCAGAGCTCCCACCCTACACCCCCAGTGGCAGCCTTGGTGAGTGTTCCTGCCCCACATCACTGACACAGCCTGGACCAACAGCCTCTCAACAATGCCCCCAGTCACCAGGGCCACGTGCTCTGGGAAAGAGACCACCAGGACTGTGATGCCTGGGAAAGCCACGCCCCTTCCCACCACTGGCCTTCCGGGGGCAGAATTTGGGCAGCAACCCTATCTGCTTGGGTTAGAACCCAGGAGTGACACAGAGACAGACTCCCTGTGCCTTCTGGGGAAGGGTGCTGCTAGTGAGCTCTGCTGGATCTCCGTGCAAAAGCCATCTCACCTGGGGGTCTAGAACTCTGGGCAGAGCCTTCTGATTTCCCTTCGAAAAATTTGCCCAGTGACCACTCTTTCCAGGTACTTGGGTTTATCAAGTGCCTTCTGTACCCCAGCCTTGCCCAGATGTGGCCTCATGTGCCATTTTGGAGTTAGACCTCACCACACCTCTGTATAAGCAGTAAGCAACAGATCTGGGACTGGGGCCCTGTTTGCCGGGGCACAGAACCTGTGCTGAGTCCTGCTCCAGGATGTTGGGTTGACCGAGGCAAAGAATATAACTTTCTGCCCACCTCTTGGCTTTGAAGACCTCCCAGGAGACCTTCCCAGGAACCACCCAGTTATCAGCCAGGGCCCTTTAATTTGAAGGGGAAAAAAGGAGACAATATGTTGTCACTGAGACATCCCCTGGACACCATGGACAGGGGCCAAGCCAGGTGCTGGGCACAGGGGGCAGGGGTTGAATGAATTTTGTGGACTATGCTAGGGGCCCCAGGGCAGAGGCAGGCCTGGACATGCAATCATTTGTGCCAAGAAGGCTTCTTGGAGGAACTGCACTAGAAATAGGGGCTGTGTTCAGTCTGGAGAAGGGACTAGGGTGGCTGTGTTCAGGAGAAGCCAGTGAACTGCCTGGTGGAGGCTCAGCCAAGAAGGTATGGGCCAGGAAAGTGGTGCAGTGAAGCCCAGAACTTGCTGTTCCCTATGCCCTACCTTCCCCTGGCCTGCCAGATATCCCAGCCCCTGTGTTGTAGGAGATGCATGCATAGTGGGGACCATCAACCCAGAGCTGTACAAGTTCCTGGAGGACAACAGTGAGACCGACTTCCCTGAGGGCTGCCTGGGGCGGCTGTGGTTCTCAGTGGAATACCAGCAGGAGGCCGAGCGGCTGTTGGTAGACTTGATCAAGGCTCAGAGGCTGCAAGCCCCCTCAGAGACCTGCAGCCCCCTGGTGAAGCTCCACCTGCTGCCCGATGAAAGGCGCTTCCTCCAGTCCAGGATCAAACGCAAAACTGCCAACCCACAGTTTGATGAACACTTCATCTTCCAGGTACAGCCTCCGGAGTAGGCAGGGTCTGGTGCCCTTAGGCCTCCTGAGAGACATTGTATAGGAGAGCCCTGGCCTCCTGTGCTAGCCAGGGCCCTGCTGGGCCAGGGGCCCTGGTGCCACCAGCTTGCTTTATCCAGCCTGCATGGTTACGGCCTACAAGAGCCCTGACCCCTCATGGTGGGGATAAAGGAGAGCCTAGAGGAGTGTGGGGGCAGATGGCTAGGCTTCTTGTGTCCAGGTTGCCTGGAAGGGAGGAAGAGAAAGCACATTCTTGGATCACGTACTGAATGCCAGAATCTGGCCCATAGGGCTAGGAGGAAGCACCTCAAAGCCCTGGAATATTACGGGGTTTCTGGCAAGGTTACCCAAGGAAAGTGGTGGCCCCTTGGAGTGCGGCCAGCACTCGCCTCTCCGGTCAGAGGCCAGCACAGAACCCGAGAGCCTTCCGTGGCAGCTGGTGCTTTGGCTGCGCTGTGCATGGGCTGGCCCTGGTCTGAAGGAGCCAGGGCGCTGAGCCAAGCTCACTGGGGCCTGGGAGCTTCGGCAGATGACTGGGGGCCCTTCGGGGAAGCTAGTCTTCAAGAGCTACCTAGAGGCCTTGAACAAACATTTTCAAGAGCTGTGCAGCAGGCTGGCCGGCAAGTTAAGGAGGGGCCAGTCAGCATCCAGCAAGAGTGAAATCTTAGGCCATAGCCCTGATTCTTGCCTTCTTCGGGGGCTGACAACTGAGAAGAGGGGTGGCAGGAGGCCCAGCCCTGGCCAGACTGTTGGTACCAAGGCTGTGAGAATTCACAGGTGAACTTTGGGACATTAAGATCCAAGGCATGCAGCTGACTTGGTGACCAGCACAGCCACACGTCATGCTCACAAACTTATTTTTCTTTACTCATCACTTCCCCACCCTGTCCTTGCACCAACCTGATCCTGGCCTGTCTGTGCTTTAAGGGGAATGGGGAAGGAAAAGAGGAAGAGAAGAAAATCAATATTAATTAACTATCTGCCATAGTTCAGACACTGTGGTTGTGGTTTTACAGCACAGGGAATAAGAACCATTATCCCATTTTACAGGTGAGGAGACTGAGTCTCCGTAAGAGGAGAGGTGGGGTGCCCAGCTCGGATTCCCCAGACTCCAGTGGAGGGCCTGCCACACTCATGTGCAGGCAAGGCATTTGGTGGTCCTGTTAAATGATAGATTCTACTTGTTAGGCCTTAAGAAGGGTCCACAGCTCTGCATTTCTAATGAGGTCCAGGGTGCATGGATGCTGCTAGTCTTCAGACCACATTCTATGTGGGTGGCTTGGTACATGCTACTCCCCACCTTGGAGGTCCTGGTCCCACTTCTGTGAAGGGTCCCCTGAGAATACCTAGGTTTGGGGTGCATAGGTCACTGTTGAGACAACCCTCAAAGCTCCTGTGTCCAGAGCAGCATGCTACCCCCTCCCATCCCTTGCACCCCATCGAACCCCCTCCTGGGCCCTCATCTCCCCCAGGTATCCAGCAAGAGCATCACTCAGAGGGTGCTGAGGTTCTCCGTGTATCACGTGGACAGGCAGAGGAAGCACCAGCTCCTGGGCCAGGTGTTTTTCCCCCTGAAGGACGAAACCCTAGAGGGTGACTGCCGGCGCATCATCTGGAGAGACCTGGAGGCTGAGAGCTTGGAGGTAAAGGTCAAGCTCACCAGACAGATGCCAATGTGAGCAGTCAGCATGTGTGGCCCAGCACCTGTTGGCTGCTGTTAGCTCTCAGCATACTGCTCACCACTCCCACACTCAGGTGGCAGCCCCAGCCCAGAGCTGCATGGCATGGGACAAAGGATGGAGCCACCCCTGGGAAGGGGGGGACCCTGAGGTTCTTTAGCCCTAGAGGTCAGATTACCTGGAGCAGCTTGAAAATTTCCTTTAAATTTCCATCCCGATCAGACAGCTGTGAAAGGTGACACCCCAAATGGGCCAGCGAAGGAAAATACCCCCTGTTCCCTTTCCCCCAAGAGAACCCACACAGCTCAGAATAGACTTTGGAATCCCTCAACCTGGTTCTCATGCCTGTGTGACCTTCAGCAAGCCCCCTCCACTGTGTAGACCTCAGTTTCCCCAGTCTGTACAATGGTTGGTGAGCTTACAGGAGGAATGAGGGTGTCACAGACAGCCTGACTGCCGGCCAGGAGGAAGGCAGTGCAGCTCCTCCAGCACCTGGCAGGGTGACAGGCTGCTTTGCCTTTGGCCTCTCCAGCCTCCATCAGAGTTTGGTGACCTCCAGTTCTGCCTCAGCTACAACGACTGCCTGCACCGCCTGACCGTGGTCGTGCTGCGCGCTAAGGGCCTCCGGCTCCAGGAGGACCTGAGTTTTGTCAGTGAGTTTCTCTTCCTGGGCGGTTCCTGTCCTGAGAGCTCCTGCCTGAGGCTGGAGGCTCACCCTCCCCCTGGCCACCCAGCTTCTGCTTCATAAGGGCACATGTGTGCTCACCATCACCTGAACCTTGCCCTCCCACTGTGGACAGCTTGGGCCAGAGAAGCCATTTCCTGGAGGGCTCCCCCCACCTCAGGGCCTGATGCTGGCAGGACTAGAAGAGGATCACAGGCCCACAGGTGGTGGGCTTCCTCCAGCCTCCCAAAACCACAGCCCCCACTCAGGCTCACTCCACACATCCCACTTATGTGGGCCCCTCTGCCACCTGTGTGTCAGCTGGGTCACTATAAGCAAGCTGGCATTAGACCTTCCACAGCAGATCCAAAACCCATGTAAGCCCACCCCCAAAAGCTTGGCCTTTGAAGGAGAAGTTAAGGGGACTCAGCACCCAGAAGTGAGGGTCTTCACCCTTGATGGGGAGCATAGCCGTGTGGTGCCAGGCCCCGGTAAACAAGGGCCAGCAGAGCCGCAGGTGGTTCAAGAGGCAGAGAGGAAGGAAGAGGAAGGGAGCTGAGCTTTGCCTCAGCCCTGAAGCAGTACACTGGTCAACCCTGTTTCCGCTTGTAATGCCTCCAGCTGCAGCAGCTGAGAGTAAGGGGGCCTTGGCACCTGGGGCAGGCATGTGCCCCCGCAGCACGACCTCTGCAGGCCAGATCCTGAGCCCCTTCCCACCCTTCCCAGCCCGCAGTTTGTACTGCTTCACCACAGGTGTGTCTGTCAGAGTGTCTCTGATGAACCACAACAAGTTTGTCAAGTGCAAGAAGACTTCCGCTGTGCTGGGCTCCGCCAACCCTGTCTACAGTGAGACCTTCAGCTTCCAGGCTTGCCCCACAGAGCTGGACACTGCCAGTCTCAGCCTCACCGTGCTGCAGAGTGCCGAAGGGGACAGTAAGGATGCTCCCCTCCCCCGGGGCAAAGGAAGCACTGCAATGTGTTCAGGACCCTCCAGGGAGGTTTCTGTTCTCTGCCTAAGGAAACGAACCTGAGAGAGGCTGAGATACTTGCTCAAGGATGCAGAGCTTGCTGGCAGGAAAGCTGGGATTCACATCCAGCTTTATCCCAGTTTAACTGTCCATGGCACCCTAGAAAGAGGTTAAAGGATGGCCCCCACTCCCTCCTCCTGCGGCAAAACACCAGACAGTTGGGGAGGCAGCATGGCCGCCTGCCACCAGCCAAGTGACCTGATGCTATGGGTTGTTGTGTGCCCTGCATCACCTCGTGTCTTCTAGACAAGCCTTTGGGGTCCTGAGTGGGGTTCAGGGTGGATGACAGAGTGGAGTTACCCACACTGCCCCCCACCCCAGAGTTCCCTGCCACTGAGCCAGCTGAGCTATCAGGCTGGGTGGTGTCATGGGCCAGAGCTTAAGACCCTTTCCCACCACAGCTGGTGGTGAAACAAAATTGTTGAATGCTCCCTCTGATGTTGGGATGGGTTGCTGGAAGGGGGCTTCTCTCCAAGGCGGCCCCTTCCTCCCTCAGCTCTTCAACAGAAGGCAGGCTTAGGAGGACCCACTAGGAGGGTGAGGGCAGAGTGGGTGGCCCCAGGGCAGGCTCTTCACCTGGGCTTCCCCTCCGCCTCCAGCTCCAGAGTGAAGTCAGGGCCCCCTGGGGGCTGTCAGCTCCTGCTTAACAAGGGAGGGGACTCACTTCTTCCTTTGAGAGAAGGGTGTGGCTGAGGAGATGCCGTCTGTGTGCTCAGAGAATAATGTCGTTTCCCTCCCCACAGAGAGCCACCAGCTGGGCAGGGTGGTGGTGGGCCCCTACATGTATGCCCGAGGCAAGCAGCTGGCACACTGGAACGAGATGCTCAACAAGCCCAAGGAGTTGGTGAAGCGCTGGCATGCGCTCTGCCGCACCACCGAGCCCTGACTCGCCGGGCCCTCGGGCCTGTTCAGCAGCCCTCTCTCCCCACAGCCATGTGTGACGCTTCATCCAGCATCTCACTGGGCTGCCAGGCCAGCCGGAGCCAAGGGAATGTGGGTGCTGATGTGCAGAAGGGAAGGGGGGCAAGAACGCCCCCACCTGGGACAGCAGTGTGGCCAGTTGCTGGTCACTATTCGCCCACCAGAGAGACCCTCCTGACTCATTCTGTCCTCCTTCACCCATGGGGCAGCCTGGACTTAGAATCTGGGCCCTTGGCCGTCATGGCCTGGAGTAAACGTGGTCACCACCTGGACTGGAATCTCAGGCACTGGGGGGTTTTCCATTTGGTGACAGCACAGCTACGCATGCTGAATGGAAGTTCCCGGTACACTTGGTTCCGCCATCTCGGAATGCCAATGTGTTGATGCAAACCCTCTGCTGTTTTTCAGCTGTAGTTTCTCTGTGTTCTGCCTAATGGAGAAAATAAACTGCTCTTGGGGAAATAGTAGGGAGCAGGGGATGTCCAAGCCCTTATGTAAGTTGGTTCACAATACACAGCTCAATCTGAGAGTTGGGTTCCCATGTAGGTTGGAGCAGTCACAGAATGCCCCCAGTTCAGGGATCACAACTTCTGGTGTCAGGATCTGTGGGAGAATACTGTGAGAAGCCCGCCCAGATACCAGGTGGTGGCCAGGTCCTTGGTGTCCCCACCCTGGGCCTGCTGAGGAGGACCTCACCACACTGCTCCCTCCCCCTGGGGCTGTGTCCCATCCTGGCCCACATCATGGCAAGTCCTGCCCATTGCTCACTCCACAAGAGTCCAAAACCCCACACCCCTGGTCTTACAGGTGTTCAGCGCTGGTTTCTGTGTCTTGGTTAACAGTGTTCAGATCCTGGAGCTCTCGCTTTGGGCAGGAAATGAAAGTATGTGGCTGAGCATAGCCCATAGGGCTGAAAGCTTTTCCTATAAACCTAGCCATTTCATCATAAGTATTGTGAGTTAGGTGTCTATAAAATTCATTAAGATGGAGTTTCCACAAACCACTGTCCTCAACTCCCAGTAAAGTACTCACCATAATGAGCAGTTATTGTGCTTGTCACTGTCACTTAACAGGCAATTTCTATTTTCACCCAAATGCTGTTGAACTTGTAGAGACAACATATTGTTATTGTATAACTAGAACAAAACTTTAAACCTGCTCTTTTCTTAGTGAAACAACTTTTTCTGCAGTCAAACAACTTCAGCAAAGGAAACTAGTACCTGTTTCACTTGGTTTGTGTGTCTCTTGACTTATTTCACTTCCAGTCTCAATGCACAAATATAGGCTTTACCTGGCAGTGGTTTGTACAGACAGAATATCCCATGTTTGCTTTTTCTCAGTTATTTCAGGTGCACATTTTCAACATAGTCCACACACACTCTTGTAATGCCTAATAGTGTCATAGCACACACATAATAGGAGTTCTCTGCATGTTTGTATTGCAGGCTACTAAAATGGAACTGTTTCCTTTTCACCTGAGGTCCTGAGACAACAGGTGCCAACCACCCCCACATTTCAAGGGGACGTTCATGCTTATTAGTGGCCTTTTCAGGGCCACTTGGAAGTATCACCTTTGCAGGATTGAGTGGACTGGTATGCCCAACTCACAGCTGAAAAATCTCAATGTCAAGTGACTGGCAGGCTCTCTGCTCTGATGGAGAGGAAGTAGGGGCTATTGCTCTTTTGGGCTGACCCCTGTCTACAGAAATGGTCAGGGCAAAAAATACACAAGTGCTCCCATGGACCAGAGAGAGCTGGCTTGGGTTGTCTCAATCTTGTCTGCAAGGTGACTTCAGCAGGACAAAATCCTTTACATTTCCTTAAATATTTGAGAATCAGCTTGTCAGTTTCCACACCAAAAAGTGCTAGAGTTTGAGTAGATTTTCACTGAGTATATAGACCCACTTTGGGTCCGTGTGTTATTTTTACAACATTGAATCTTCAGTCCATTAACATGGTATATCCTCCTGTTCCTTTAGGTCTGCTGCAAGAAAACTGTTTCTTGGTTTTCAGGAGAGTGTTCTTGCACATCTTTCATTAGATTTATTCTAGGTGTTTTATATTTGTTACTAGTATATAAGATTCTATTGATCTTTGTTCATTTATATCTATGAGTGTCCTTGCTAAAGTCACTTAAATTGTAATAGTTTATCTTTAGATTCTTTGTATTTTCTTTACAGTCATGATCTCTGTGAATGACAGTTTTATTTCTTCCTCCAATCTGTATGCCTTCTTTGTCTCATGCCAAATTGCAGTGGTTGGGTAATTGGGCAAGAAAAACGAAATACATCAGATTGTAAAGGAAGAAGTAACATTATATTTGCAGATGACATGGTCTTGTATATAGAAAATCCGAAGGAATCCACAAAAAACTATTACAGCTAAAAAACAAGTTCAGCAAGGAAGCAAGATTGATATACAAATTGCACTGGCTAGGGCCTTTAGCAGAATGCTGGCTACAAAGAGTGATGGTGAATATCCATTTCTCATTCTCATCTTAGGGGAGAAGTTTTCACTATTGACTATTTAGTTTGATGCTTGCTATAGGACTTTCAATGTACTCATGATCATGTAGTCTCAATTTGTTAAAAGTTTTTTTTAATCACAGTGTTAAATTTTATCTAATACTTCTCTGCATCTTTCGAGATAATCAGACTTTTATCCTTTATTCTTCTAATGTGATTAATTATATTGATTGACTTTTGAATGTCAAAGAAAACCTACATTCTTGTAATAGAAACCAGTGGTGTTTGTCTATGTGTGTATGTATATATATATAATACTTGGACTTGTTTATTTAAAATTTAGATGTATTTGCTATTACTTTTTTATTGCTTTTTAATATCCTTATATGTCAACATCATATTTAAAATCATTAATGATTACAACGTTACTTTTGTAGAGCAGTTTTACATTCACAGCAAAATTAGGGGAATGTTCAGAGATTTTTCATAACAGCCCCTGTCCCACCCATTCATAGCCTCCCCCATTATCAGCCTCCCCCACTAGAGCAGTGGAGTATTAGGTTCATACTCAATTAAAATTGGTATTTTCCTGGTGGACTGAACCCTTTATCATTGTGAAATGGCTCTACCACTCATAATGGCCTTTTTTTCCCCCATTTTCCCTATATTTCCTCAACTTACTCATAGTCTTATATTATTGTTGTATCTCTTAAATATAGTTTTTTAAAATCAAGTCAGTCACCCTCTCTTCTGTGTATTTAGTTCTTTTACAATAGATGTAATTACTGATAGAGTTGCGTCCATGTATACCATGTTACAATCTGTTCCATTTGTCCTACCTATTATGTTTATTTTCCTCTCCTTTGTTGCCTTCTTCTGGATTAATACATTTTTTAAAAATTTCATCTCCTCCCACCCACTCATTGCTACTTACACAGTCTGCTACTATTCCTTTAGTGGTTTCACTAGAGATTACAACATATCTATTGTATATTATAGTCTAATAGAAATTTTGCTTTTTATCACTTCCAAGACAATGCTCTGATATTAAATGATAGATAGATAGCCAGATGTGAGCAGGGAAGAGGAAGCGGTACTTCAGCCAGTGTTTACAACTGGCTAGATGGCTTGCTTATGTTCTACAAATTCTGTGTAAGCTGTTTCCATGGAATGTGGAGTAAGTTGTAAGTAATAGAATGGCCAAAACTGGCTAGATCCAACATGGAGGAGAAACTGACCCAAATTTTACCCCAAAATTCATCACCATGGTAAAAATCATGCCCCTCCATCATTAGCATAGTAAAAATCACACCTCCTGCATGCCATGACAGTTCTGATGGGGACCAAATATAGTAAAAAATTCCTCTGCCCAACATGAGGGTGGAGGCAGCGCAAACTCCAGGAAGACTCCACCTGTCCCCTCTGAAACCTAATATTCATCTCCCTTCATATAAGAGGCTCCCTATAGTTCCCCCAACACAGCCACCTCTGGGGTCTGCCTGCACCCCAACTCTCAGGCATGTAATCTTTTCTTTTTCTGAATTTTATTTTCCAAATAAACTCTTAATGCTCAATGGCCCTTCTGCATCCATTCTTGAATTCTTTCTCACAATGAGACCAAGGACCCATCTCTGGCAACACTTCCATTCTATTTTTTTTTTTTTGGTTATTGATATTATTCATTTTAATACCACATATAATTTCCACCTAACAGGACATTATTGTTATGTTCAGATAATATTTATTTATATTCACCCACATATTTAATCTTTCTTTTCCTTTTTTATTCTTTCCTGCACTTCTGGGATTCTGAGATCATTTTCTTTCTACCTGAAGAACTCTCTTCAGTGTTTCTTTTTGTGCAAATCTGCTGGAAGCAAAGTTTCTGTTTTTGAATAGAAACATCTATTTTAAATACAATTTTAAAGGGTATTTTTGTGGAAATAGAATTTTAAGTTGACATTTTCCTTTCTTTCAGCAGTTAAAAAAGATATTGTCTTCTCCCTTCCATCATTTCTATGACAAGGGAGTCATCACTGCTATTGCTTCTCCTTTGAAAGTAATGTATCCCTCCCCTTGCCTACCCCCCAACACTTGGCTTCTTTTAATATTTTGTCTTTGTCTTTGGTTTTCAGAAGTTTGAGTATGGTTTTCTTTTTATTTATCCTGCTTGGGGGGGTCACAAAGCTTCATCAATTTTGAAAGGTTCTCAGCCTGTATTTCTTCAAATATGGCTTCTGGTCCATTCTCCCTCTCCTCTTCTTTTGAGAGTCCAGTTACAAATATGTTATATCTTTCCACCATTTCCCATAGGATTCTTATGTACTTTGTTGTATTTTCTATATTCCTTATGTCTGTGCTTCAGCTTAGTTTTTATATTGCCCTCATCTTTCTCCCACTAAGTCTAATTGTAGTAAACCTATATGCTGAGTTCTTAATTTCTGTTACTGCATTTGTTGGTTCTAAATTTCTATTTGATATTTTGTGATAGATTCCAGTTCTTTGATGAAAGTCTCTATTGATCACACTAATATCTGGGGCATTAGTGGGTCAGTTTTATTATGTATATGTTTTCCCCTTTTTGTCCTGTTTCTTGGTATACTTGAAAAATTACTGTGAAATACTAACTATTATGATAAATCATAGTGTCACCAGGAGATACTATCCCTCTAAAGAGAGTTTACTATATCCTCTGGTAGACAGTTGGGAGAGGTCACTTTCATCCAACCTGGTAATGAACTGACTGGAGTCTGGGTCACAGTTTTTGTAAACCTCTATCTGCACCTCTGGTTTGCCCCCATTTCTAGAGTGTAGTCTTCCAAGGATCTGGTGTGTTTGCTGGGCTTTTCTTCCTTGATGGGTCCTAAACTCCAGTTCTTATCTCTTTAAGGTCATGAGATCACCAAGAAAAAGCAAGCCCTGCCATCTTTTATTGGTTTGGGGAATGATTAAAAAACCCACGGCTTCTTGATTCATCAAATGCCTGAAGGGGGAAAATCCATGTCAGAATCACTTCTGCATATCCCTTCTATCCAACATCTTGGCCTCTTCTGTCCCAGCTGCCGTGGCAACCCCAATTTCCAATTTCTTGTCTCTCCTGCTCCAGAGACTCTGCTGCCTTTCCGCCTCTTAACCATGGCCCTCTGCTCTAAGACTCAGCCTCTTAACTAGAATCGGCACCTTTCCTGAGGGGAAAAGTGGTTCACAGAACATCACCTCACCTCCTTGTGTTCTCTCCTTCTGAGATCATGGCCTGTCAAATGCTTGTCAACTTGGCAGCTCTCCAATAACTTAAAAAAGAGGTTTTCTATATTTTATTCAGTTTTTTCTAATTGGTCTTGGCATGAACATCAATCTGCCTGAAGTAGAAAAATAATTATTTTCTCAGAGTTCTTTCCCCAGACAAAAGAATTCTCAACAAAGAGTGATTTTATACAGGGAATTTGATAACACAATTCTTGGGAAAGCTGAAAGCCAAAAGGAGACAAGTTTTTTCTGTCAGTCAGCTATTTTTGTAATGGTGCATAACAATCACAACATCTCATGGTTGTACTAAGATGAACATTTATTCCTTATACATCTATGGGTCAGTTGAACATGTGAGCTGGTCTAGGCTATGCAGCTCCCTCTCAAGCCATGGGTCCAACTGGGCCCAGGTCCTTGTCCAGGCCTACTCCATGTTTATTCATTCCAAGCATGGGCTGAAGGCGCAACAGCTTTTTTCATGGTGAAGGTGAAGAGCACACACATTTCCATCCTCTGCTTCTGTTGTCACCTAATATCCCATTGGCTGAAGATACATGGCCAAGTTCAAAATCAAGGGGCAATGAGGCAAACTGTGCCTTTTTGTGAGAACGGCAAATCTGCATGGCAATGGACATCACTTCAGGGAGTGGTGAAGTGGAGTGGTAATTCAGTACACCACATTGATGTTCCATAGAGCTGGGGAACTCCAGGGGCCTGTGCTTGGCTGTTCAGGTGCAGACACCAAGGGGAGACCTGGTGGCTGTGTGGCTGCTGGGCCTTGAAGCCACTGCTGCCAACTTGGGATCCCATAGTGATGATGGGCTGGGATTTGCACAGCCATTTGTCATGACATTTTTCTTATTTTTCACTGTGGAAGTCTTTGTTCAAATTACTGCCAAGGCCTCAAGCATTCTGCTGTCCCAGGTGTCAGAATTACAGGAAGGAAAGCATGATATTTACCTTCTTTCTGCTTTCTAATCTCACTTGAGGGCCTCACATTTGGCAAACTCAACTTGGAACTCTGTTTCAAGAGTGTCTGGGACAGTAACTATAATGGGGTATGTGGGGGGACTTGATAATAGGGATGAATTTAGTAACCACAATGTTACTCATGTGAAACCTTCATAAGATTGTATATCAATGATACCTTAATAATAATTTTTGAAAAAGAGTGTCTGCGAAATACAATTTTCAGACTTCCATTTCCAGAAAATGTAATAAAGACCTTTAAAGGGGATGAGGATGGTGCTGTGTGTGAACCACACTCTGGGACAACTTTGGGTCATAGGAACCCTAGGTAAGAGATCTGCAGAGAAAGGAGGCTCTTCATAAGAAAGAAACAAATCCTATGATTTGCAACATGGATGGAGTTAGAGGACATTATGCTCAGTGAAATAAGCCAGGCGGAGAAAGACAAATGCCAAATGATGTCCCTCA